ACCACCACCCCGCATCCACCCCCCCAGCAGCGCAGCGCACCGCCCACCCCCGCCGCGACCACTTTGTCTCGGCGTCGTCGCACCGCCCTCACCCCCACCCGTCGCGCCGCCTTCAAACACACACACACACACACACACACACACACACACACACACACCGCCCCCCCTCCCCAGCAGCCCAGCGCACCGACACCCTGCCGCGACAACTTTATTACGCCGGCGTCGCACCACCCTCCCCCCCCCGCACCCCCGTCGCACCGCCCCCCCACCACCAGCCCCTCCCCAGCAGCCCAACGCACCGCCCCCTCCACCGCGGCCACTTTTTTCGGCATCCTCGCACCGCCCCCACCCCACCCGTCGCACCGCCGTCACACACACCCCGCCCACCCCATCCCCTCTCCAGCAGCCCAGTGCCATTCGGCGTCGCACCGCCCCCTCCGCCCCGACAACTTAATTTCGGCGTCGTCGCACCGCGCCCACCGCCCCGCCACACGCCCTCGCAACCCCCTCTCCGCCCCCCCAAGCCAGCCCCCCCGCAGCGCCCCTCCGCAGCAGCTCACGCACCGCCCCCTCCGCCGCGACCACTTTCTGTCGGCGTCGTCGCACCGCCCCCCCGCCCCCCCATCCCCAGCAGCCCGGCGCGCCGCCCACTCCGCCACGACTACGTTGTTTTTCGGCGTCGTCGCACCGCCCTTACCCCCCCGTCGCACTGCCCTCGCACGCCGCCCTCGCCCCCACCCAAGCAGCCCACCGCACCGCCCCCTCCGCCGCGACCATGTTGTTTCGGCGTCGTCGCGCCGCCCCCCGCCCTTCCCCGCCACACTGCCCTCTCCCCCACCGCCTCCTCCCCCTCCCCAGCAGCCCAGCGCATCGCGCCATCCGCCGCGACCACTGTCTTTCGGCGTCGTCGTCACCGCCCCCAACCCCCCTCGCACCGCCGTCACACACACACACACACACAAATCCACACACACACACACGCCCCCCTCCCTTCCAGCAGCCAAGTGTTTTTCGGCGATCGGCGTCGCACCGCCCCTTTCCGCCGCGACCACTGTCTTTCGGCGCCGCCGCGCCGCCTTCACCCCCCCCCCCGCGCCGCCCCCACCTTTCCCCGCCCCTCCTTTTCCCCATTTCCCCGGCAGCCCGGTGCTCTTCGGCGTCGCACCGCCCCCTCCGTCCGACCACTTGATTATCTTACGCACACCCCGACTACTTCATTCCGCTTCGCGTCGCACCCCCCCCTCCCCGCACCCCGCACCCACCTCTCCCCAGCTTTCCCCAGCGGCCCAATGGAACCTCCGCCCAATGCCCCCACCGCCCCGACCACTTCATTCCGCGTCGCGCCGCGCCCCCTCCACACGGGCCACCCGCGGCCCAGTGGAACCCCCGCCGAAGACACCCTGCGCCACGACCGCTCTCTTCAGCGTCTCCGCCCAGTGTCCCCTCCGCCCCGACCACTTTATTCCGCGTCGCATCGCAGACTCCCCCTTTTGCGCCCCTCCCCTCCCTCCCCAGCGTTCCCCAGCGGCTCAATGCCCCCTCCGCCCGACCACTTTACTCCGGGTCGCATCGCCCCCCCCTTACTAATGTTCCCCCGCGCCCCAATGGAGACCCCGCACAATGCCCCCTCCGGCCCGACCACTTTCTTCCGCGTCGCTCCGCGCCCCCCCTCCACGCCCCCGCCACCCCCTCCAAAACGTTGCCAATCCGCCCAATGCCCCCTCCGCCCCGACCACTTTATCCCGCGGCGCGTCGCCGCCCCCTCCTCAGCGTTCCCCAGCGGTCCGCTCCGATCACTTTATTCCGCGTCGCGCCCCCCCACCTCCCTGCTCCCGCCCCCCCCTTCCCCAACGTCCCCCAGCGGCCCAGTGGAACCTCCGCCCCGACCACATTATTCCGCATCGCGTCGCCCCCCCCCTGTCCAGCGTTCCCCCGCGCCCCAATGGAACCCCCTCTACGCACTGCCACCCCTCCCCAGCGTTCCCCAGCGGTCCAATGCCCCCTCCGCCACGACCACTCTATCCCGCGTCGCGTCGCCCTTCCTCCCCGGCGTTCCCCCGCGCCCCCGTGGAACCCCCGCCCAGCGCCCCCTCCGCCCCGCTTGCTATATTCCGCGTCTCCTCGCACCCCCCTCCCGCCACCCCCTTCCCCCGCGTTCCCCAGCGGCCCGGTGCCCCCTCCGCCCCGACTACTTCATTCCGCGTCGCATCGCGTCCCCCTCCCCGGCGTTGCCCCGCGCCCCAGTGGAACCCCCGCCCAGTGCCCCCCTACGCCCCGACACCATCATTCCGCGTCGCGTCGCACCCCCCTCCCCCTGCCCCAGCCACCCCCTCCCCAGCGTTCCCCAGCGGCCCAAGGCCTCCATCTGCCCCGACCACTTTATTCCGCGTCGCGTCGCACCCCCCCTCCCCGCCCCTCCAACCCCCTCTCCAGCGTTCCCCACCGGCCCAAGGTCCCCTCCGCCCCGACCACTTCATTCCGCGTCGCGTCGCCGCCCCCCCCCCACCCCCCACGTTCCCCCGCGCCCCAGTGGAACCCCCGCCCAAGTGCCCCCTCTGTCGCATCGACTCGTCGCGGTATACTCGACAAGATTCGCTGAAAGAACAAGACGAAATCACAACCACCTCTGATGTAATCTGAGAAGAAAAGTTCTGCCTTTTTCCTATGACCAATACAGTGGGCTGGGTATCCAGCCGAATCACACAGTTCAAGGCATGATATGAAACCGCGCACAGAAAGCTCGAGCACTGAATATAAGTACGGAAATCAACTGCTCAGCATGTGAACGTATTCTAATACAAAACCATGATTTCTACGACACGGGGGGTTCAGTACAATCCGAACCTTCACTGCAAGCGGAAAACCTCCACCCCAGAAATTACCTTCTGAGGTCTGGAGCTATTCTTCAAGGCGGCGAAGGACGGGGGACAGGCCTGTGCAGCAGCTGACAGGCGAACCATGGTCTCCTCCTGCTCATCCTCAAAGTCACTCTCTGGGTCTCTGTCCAGGAACTCCGGCACCACAGGGGGCCTCTCGATACCATCCTCGTCAATGAGGTCAAGGGTGTTCCGCTTTTATCGCCTTGCGCTCCTTGGCCGAGGTAAAGCTCGGGCCCTGCACCACGGCCCACTCCTGCATGATGTAGAACCTCAAAGTTACCTGCAGCGCGAGCGACTCCAGCTTGGGCAGTCCATCGGCAATCATCGCCTCCGAATGGACCCACCGTAGTACGGTCTTGGCGGCATTCATGCTCTGTCTCATGGCCAGTGCTTCTATGGCGGACCTCTGGTCATTGCAGCCAGATCCTGAGGACCACGCGCGCGCGATACTGTCGCACATGGCCTTGCAGTCGGTCACTAGGGTACCCGGCACTGTCTGCAAGCACTGGTTGATCTCGTGGTGGGTGATCTTGCGACCATTCATCATCTCGTACCAGGCGAGTCGTGCATACTCCTGTGCTCCATTCGCCATTGTGCCCATCTGGATCTCGGCACTGAGAGAGCTTCTTGCTACGCGGGGTAACTTCCTGGAGGCTCCCTGGATCACGGCGACGCTGGTTCGCTGCCCCTCTAAGATCTTCCTCTCGGCCATGGCCAGGATCACCCCGCCCTGGGAGCCCCCCGACTTCCGCACCTTCCAGGCGGCATCGTGCCAAGTGACGAACACTGGGTCCTTCATCGGCTTAGATATGATCATAACCAATGATGTCCCGTGAGCTGTGCGTACCAGCTTATTGATCTTCTTGACGAGGGCCATGGTGCCCGCAGGTACTTCTCCTCCGAGACTACTGGTCTGGCCGGCCAGCCACGTCATCCCCTACGATGCCAGAAACATGGTGCTACCCAAAGCCCCTCGGCACCGGGACTTGAGACTGTCTGAGAGCTGGGCGTCATCCTTCAGCTTCTGCTCCTCCTTCGTCAGCTCGATGGCCTCCACCTTCCGCACTGCCTTCGCCAAGCTCTGGATGATGGCAAAGTCGGCTAACTGCACGCACTCGGAGCCGCACTGAGTGATAAAGCCTGTTTCCCATGATCCCCAGCGGTAGAGCGCCTGCACCTCGAAGAGGTCCTTCTGGCCTTCTGAGGAGGTAGGTATTCCGATCACGAAGTCGCCCACATGCACGAAGATGACCGTCTCGACCTTCCCGGCGCTGTCGCACTTGATCCACAGGCATGGCTCCAGGGCCATGGCCACGTAGCCCAGTTTCTCGAAGTCACTGGCCACCTTCTCGCACCACTCCTTCGGCGCGTTCACTAACCCATAGGCCGCCTTCAGCATCTTCACGCACTCGTCCTCGGACAGCTGCAGAGCTTCTCGTAGCTCTGGGACTGGCTCCACGAGTAGGTTGTGCTTGGCCTGGGTCGGGTTACCCTGCAGGAGGGATGCCTTCACGTCGCCCTTGTACATCCTCCGGTGGTTGTTAGCCATCAACTGTAAGGCCAGGTTGCGGCCTCGCGACGATACCGTAGGGCTGGACTTCTCGATGGTTGCCAGTCTTGGGTCCTCGAAACCTAGCAAGATCAGCCTGGCCATCACCATCCCCTCGTCCTTCAGAACAAGGTGCCATCTCATCTTCATGGGCTTCACTCCGGCTCGGCGAAGTGCCGCCTGGCAAACCTCGTTGTGCACCCAGTTGTTGACCTCCACCAACTTCGCATTCGCCACCATCGCCTTCACTTCGGGAGTGGCCTTTCGCATGTTGATCTCCACCTGGCCCTTCTTGACTGCTTTCTTCAGGGTCTGCTTGGGCTTCTCGCTGAACGCTGCCAGCACGGCAACTTCCATCACGAGCTCGGCTGTGTAGACCTCCCTCGTCTCGCTCAGGTTGATATATATATATATATATATATATATATATATATATATATCCGACACTCCCAGATTGTCCTCGGTCCTAGCCTTCTCCTCCAGAGGGGACCCTGGAGAGCTCGACGATGTTCCCGGAGTAGTTCGCTCCCTTTCTCGCTCGATCCACACAGGCAGGTCGTCCAGCAGTGGGTTCTTCTTGACGGCGTAGGCATCCCGGGCCATCTCAACTGGAGGTGATGGTGTGGAGGGGCCTGCACTCGATGGTGGGATCTCCTCTTGGTCTGGCTCGCCTGTGATCTCGACGTCCGGGGTCTCGTTCCCTTCGTCCGGCCCGACTGGCACTTCTTCACATCCGGGTGACTCTGCCGCGGGCATCTCTTCGTCAACAGGTTCTGCCTCTCCAGTTCCTTCTTCCACTTCATGATCTGGATCTGGTTGAGCCTCTGGTTCTTAAGCTGGCACCTGCCGCTCGTCTCGGTCATGATCGACTCCTTCGGGTGGTCGCTGACTACTCAGATCCCAATACCTGGCGCCAATGTCCAGGGCATCCAGGACCGGGCGCCTCTCGATGGGCTTCGCCTTCTGAAAAATGGCGCGCAGCGCCTTCTCGTGCTCCGAGGCTGGCCGTAGCTGTTGAGGAGTGGTCAGCACCAGCTGGTTGTGATGGTAAATCAATACCAGGTTCCGGGGGGGGGCCTCGCCCTTGTCATGCTTGAAGAACTGGTTGACGACCAACGCTGGACCTATAAACTCGCCCTTCGACTTTTTGACCATGTCCTTTCGGCTGCCCGGCTCTACCCAATAGAACACAGGCCCCCCGGTCTCCCAGGTCCTGAACTTCCTCGTCTCGGACAGAGCTGCTAAGCGAGCTTGCCGGTCTGCTAGAGCCTCGGCGAACGCCTTCCTGGCCATCATGCGTCTTCGCATCATCAGCTCGGCGCTCGACCCCTTCTCGGTCTCAGCCTGCGCCTGCGCCACCGCCCCGGTGAGCTGTGAGTCCAGAGGTCACAGCTGACGTCCGCAGATGACTTGATCCAGGGAGGCGCCCGAGACCCTGAACATCTCGGCATGGGCGGCGGCGCACCAACTGAAGATCTCCTGGATCGGGCACTCGTGGTCCATGAGAGCCATCCTGGTCGCGGCCACCTTCAGCAGGTCGATGGTGACCTCCACTCGCCCATGCTTCCAGTGAGCTTCGGCGGGGCGAACTTCCCTGTGCATGCCGTGGTGCGCGGCGCTCTCGTGGATGATCCTTGACCTGTAGGCGCCTGCTGGGTCGGTCCTGACCTGTAGAGGTCGCCCGAAGTAACGGGTTCAGGAATTCACGAAGAAGGTGTCCCAGACGACCGCCGCTGATGTCTCTCCGGCGCTGCCCTTGTTCGGCGTGGTGACATGGATCACGGGCACTGACTTGGCGGATCCCTCACCCACCATGAGAGCACCTCGGGCCCTGGCCTGAGTGACTGGGCGGGCCCAGTCGAAGCCGTCCATCTGCATCACGTCCAGGGGCTCGGCGTCTTGTCCAGCGGCCACTGGCATCGGCCCCCTCCTCGCTGCAGCCTCGCACACACTGCGCTTGAGCTGGCCAGCCAGACTGATCACCCAAGGCTGAGCTCCCTTCCGCCAGAGGTAGGCCTTAATCGCGTTGGCCCCCATGTGGTTCATGTCGGCGTGGATGCTCATCAGCTCCTTCTTCACCAGGTCGATCACTTTCGGGTCGATGTCCTCCAGCTTCTTCGCGCCATCCTCAGAGTCGAGGAGGTCTTCTTGATCTGCGACGGCCATGATCTTCTGAACCTCGAAGTAGTCGGCAGGGTCCTGCTCTAGGATGGCGGCGGCCCACATCCTGCACACGGCCGCGGGCTACCGAGCCGTAGATCCAACATTCACGAGCCCGGTCTCGATCGCGGTGCGCTCGTGGTCCCTCGTGCACCTTCGGCGAAGGCGGTCAGCGAGCTTCCGACTTGGAGTAACGATCCTCCAACCTTTCCTGACTAGGCCTCCGGTCACCTCGCTCTTCATGCCCGAGCCGCATCCGTAGCTGATGGTCTCGCATAGCTGTTCCCAGAGGTCGAACAGTTCCTCGATGCTCCGCCAAGAGCTGGCGTTCAAAGGATGCTCGATTGAGATCTCTGTGCCGCGCTCCTTCCACGCATAAATGAGTACCTCCAAGACGTTCCCCATGACACGGCGGCCCCGCTTCCGGGCCCTGGCAATCTTTTCCTACGATTCGGTGGCATTGGGCCCGCCGTTCTGCAGGGCAGAGAAAGGGGCGCACGGCGGAGACGCGCTAGCCCAGCGGGGCCTTTCCTCCTTGATCAGCCTCTTCGCCTTCTCCACCGAGCTCTTCTTGCTGAAGTCAAACTGGCTGAAGAGCCCCAGTCGCGCGGCACGGCCGCCCATCTTCTCGACCTCACTGCTGAGGGAACTGTCCGGCGGGACACAGATCTCCATCAAGTCCGCGCGGCCCTGGCGGGCCAGGGCGCTCAGCTGCAGGTAGCTCTGGTTGTCACGGGAGGCTGCTGCTTGTAGCGCCCGATGGCGGGCTCGGCGAGGTAATTGACTTACCACTCGTAAGCAATCCCCCTCCAGCTCCACCGCCCGAGGTGACTCCCGAAGCCCACCGCAGGCGTGAACTTCTTGGGGCACCCGCTCTTGCTGCACTTCAGGAGCTGCGCCTGTTGCGACCAGCGCTTCCGAGACTGGATCCGCATCACCATGCGCTGCCACCTGTTGTTCTCCTTCGAGCCTTCCGGGCCCCTTCTTGTTGTTAGCTGGTGCGGCGCGGGACCCTCGAGTCGGCTTGTCCGAGGGTAGCTTTTTCTGGAAGGTCGCTGAGGATGAGGGTTTCGGTGTGGTTGGCACTTCGGTCGTCAATGCACGGGACTGCCCGCTCGTGGTCTTCGGCGGAGTCGCTCCTCGCTTCTTGGTCCTCGGTACCGTCGGCATCTCCCTGACTTCGGCGTCCACCTGCAAAGACTTGCCGCTGTCCTCGGACCACGCTGCCTCCGCCTCGGCGAACAGATACTTCCAGGACTGGGGCAGCGTTCCCTTCCTGGCCAGCCGGGCCACCTCCGCGAGTAGGCCGTATTTGGCTGCGTGGCGGGCAGCTGCTTCCCTCATCGCCCCCTGGGCGTCCGGGTCGGTGACCGCAGACAGCTCCATGGCCTGGCCCTTCAGGTCTTCGCAGTACTGGACGGGGTTCAGCTGCTCGGCAGCCGAGGCAGCCGACGGCGACGGCTGCGCTAAGGATGGTAAGCCCACCGCGGCGGGCGCCGTACTGTGGTCCATAACCAGGTCCCACTGATCGAACTCCTCGTCTGAAATCTCGTTCACGAGGGGCTCGCATGGTCCCTGAGGACTTGACATGCAAGTCTTAACTGATAACTCAAGGCCCCCCCCCCGGAGCGCGCCCTGTAAACCAATGGCTGTGGAGGGGGAAGGCAACGTTGGGAGAGATCCAGATCCTGCTGTTCATGTTTGACTGCCAATGCGCGTGCATGTGCATGTGCGCTGCGATCACCTTGGTGCGCTCTGTCGCGTGCGTGCGGTAGCCGCACTGCATGGCATGACCTGTCTCGTATATGTAGCAGCCGCACTGCGTGACATGATCTATATTGCGCATGTTGTCGTCGTACTTCATGACATGATATGTCTGGCACATCATGATGCAGGCCTCCAAGACCTTGCCTGCTGAACTTCTGGGCTCTCCCTCCCAGCGAGCTGGCCTCTGACGAGCTTCCGAATGTCTCAAACGGAGAATTGGTTGCACAGTGGTTTTTGAATTAAAGAGCGTGATCTCGGTGTCTGTTTGACACGTTTGCCTTTTGGAGGTCTCTGGAGATGCATCCGTCTCGGTGGCCACGGGGGTTAAGCACTTCTTTTCTCTTCCCAATCCTTCGGCGGTGCTCGCGCCCCCGGCTGGGCCCCATCACAAGATGGGCAAGGCGCAGCGCGCGCTCGAGAGCCGCACCACCGGCTCCTCGTGCCCGTCTGGGTAGACGAGCGCCATCCTCTCCTTGATCAGGTCGGCCCCGGACTTCTCGAGGCAGTCGAGGCCCAGCAGCATCGGCGACTTGGACTCCACGAGGTCGAACCACAGCTTGCTCTTGTCCTCGACGAGGGCCACAAGATGCTCGAGGCCGAACCTCCCGATGGACCCCCCTTTGCCTCCACCCGCGTAGGTGAACTTCGCGGTCTTGGAGTAGTCCATCTCCACATGGTCCTCGCTGGTCTCCTGGATGATCACGTCCGGGATGGAGGTGGCCAGCTCGAGCCCGATCATGCTCTTTGTGGCCCCTGTGCCGATGATAGCGTAGCCGACCATCTCCTCCTGCACCCATCCAGCTTGGCCTTCGTCAGCGTTGATACCCTCGTTGCTGTATCTGGCGCTGGCTGGGTCCTGTACTTCCGTCGGAGTGTCAGCAAACACCGCCAGCTGTCCGTTGACCATCTGCATGCCGTTGCCGTCCGTGCCCGCGTTGCTCCTTCTGGGACAGTCCACTGCCCTGTGCGGCCCTGAGCAGATGAGGCATTTGATACCTCTCCCTTTGCCCGTGCCCTTCGCCGGGCGTCTCCCCGCTGGCTGCGGCGGGCGTGGAGCCCGCCTCTCGCCGCCCTGCCTGAGGCCCCGGGGGCTTGGGCGGCCTCAAGGCGGACTTGGCCGCGACCGCGGCCTCGGGGTCCTTCGCGGTCTTTCCGGGCAGCTGGCCGACACCAATCACCGGAAAGTAGCCGCTCCTGTTCTTCGCAGCCTCCGCCAGCATCTTCTTGGCCTCCGTGAACGCCCGGTGGGCATCCTGCGCGTAGACCTCCGCGTCCTCCGCGTAGGCCTCGAGCGCCTCCAAGTCCTCGGTCGTCTGCCCCTCGGCCTCGTAGTTCACGTCGACCTCCTCGCTGTCCGCACCTTCTCCCTCATAGAAGCCATGTTCGTCGTCATCATATTCGTCCTGGTAGTTGGCCTTCGCAGGAATCCGTCGAAGGTCTCGATTGTTCTGATTCCTCATGTCGCGGCGTCTTGCCGCGATGTTGTCCCTGGCCGCTAAGTCTTTGTCCGACCACACGTTCTTGAGCTTCTCGATCACGTACTCGATCGTCCAGTCCGAGGGCCTGGCAAACCACCGTGGCGCGCTCACTCGGGTCCAAGTTGGCATTCAGGAGAAAGATGATGCCGCGCAGCTCGTCAGGTATCAAATCCATCGCTGCCATGTCCGGGCATATCGCACGGACGCTCTTCTCCATCTCCTGGTATGCGTATTCTTCTTGCTCCGCGTAGAAGCCGATGCTCTGTCCGAGCTTCCTCACTCTCGGTCCTGAGGACTTCCGATCGTAGTAGTATGCGAATACCTTGTCCACCACATCGCTTGAGGCCTGCTTTCCCCAACTCTTATGAAAGGTCTTCAGCGAGTTACTCGGTCCCTTCTCGCCCACGATCGATTATTCTGCATTTTCGGTCCGAGGGAGACGCAGAGCCAGCCTCCTGTGCGCGGTGTTCTTCGGCAGAGCCTGCACCAAGCGGGGTCCGAGCAACTTCCTGTCCTCTTCCTTCGTGGCTAGCGTGAGCAATTCCACTTCCGCTTGATACTCGTCCAGTGTCTCCGCCGGGCCGTCCCAGGTGGGAATCCTCTGGAACTCACAACTCTGTGCTCCAGTGCTCGATGACGCCATGTGAGTCAGTAGATCACTTCAACCCAGCTCCGCACTACCAATGTCGTATCGACTCGTCGCGGTATACTCGACAAGAGTCGCTGAAAGAACAAGATGAAATCACAATCACCTCTGATGTAATCTGAGAAGGAAAGCTGTCTTTTCCTATGACCAATACAGTGGGCTGGGTACCCAGCCGAATCACACAGTACAAGGTACGATATGAAGCCGCGCACAGAAAGCTCGAGCACTGAATAGAAGTACGGAAATCAACTGCTCATCATGTTAGCGTATTCTAATACAAAATCCTGATTTCTACGACACCCTCCGCCCCGACCACTGTATTTCGCGTCGCACCCCTCCTACCCGCCCGCGGTCCAATGCCCCCTCCGCCCCGACCACTTTATTCCGCGTCGCGTCGCCCCCCCCCCCCCCCAACGTTCCCCCGCGCCCCAGTGGAACCCCCCGCCCAAAGCCCCCTCCGCCCCCCGACCACTGTATTCCGAGTCGCGTCGCACCCCCCCATCCCCGCCCCCGCCGCCCACCCCCCTCCATCCCCACCTGTTTCGCGTCGCCCCCCAATGCGTCCTTGCCTCTAGCTCTGTCCCTGGCGGCCCCCTTGTCTTCGCCACCCTTCTGCCCCCATTAGCCGAGTGCCCCCTCCCAGGGCCCGACGAGTGAAAACCCTTGAGTTTCGGTATTTTGCTGGTGCTCGAAATTCCTTCTTGCGATCAAAGCTAAAGTAGGTTGGAACATCCTACCCCCCAGCTGGCTCCAACCTGGAGGTGCAGCAATTCCGGAAAATGCTCAATGAGTTTAAAATGTCGGGTAACGGCAAATGCCCAGGGAGGGAGGCTGGGGGCTCGGGTAATGCCAACGCTTGGACGGGGAGGTGCACGTCGGGGCGGGAGTGCGCTGCGGTCGCCAGAGTATGGACGCGAGCAACAGCAGGTGGGGGGGGATGAGGAGGAGGAGGAGGAGGAGGAGGAGGAGGAGGAGAAAGAGGAGGAGGAGGAGGAGGAGGAGGAGGAGGAGGAGGAGGAGGACCAATGTAAGTAAACCCAAGACTTACCAACGATGTTGGAGGGGGCCCCCTCCCTTCACCTGGGGGGGGAGGCGGGTCACGACCGCTGCGCGCCAGAGGAAGAACAAGACCATGTCTAGAAAGACCTTCAGCTCCGAGGGCGGCGAAGGCGCGCAGGGACAAACTGGCTGCCTGCCCAGCCGCCCCACCCCCAACCCGAAGGCCCACATTTCGTGTCTGGGGGGGGGGGGGCGGGCTCCATCTGCATTTCTCCCAAATTCGAGGGCGGGCCCCTCTGGAAATAGAGGGCACCTTGGGGCCTCGAGGCGGGGAGTCCAAAAGGCACCGACACCGCTGAACCCTGGACCTCTCCTGGGGTGCGTCCTGACCAGAGTTCGAAGGTGAATCCCGCGGTGGCGACGAGGGCCTCGGAGGCCCAAAAGGTGACAACGGGGGAAGGGTAGCGGCACGGGTACCTCCTCCCCCCCTCTGAGTCTTGGGGCCCCAGGACACACAAATAAATACACACAAATAAAACTATTACCCATATTTTCCCATATTTTCTGGGTTTTTGTCTTCCCCCCACTTCCCATATTTTCCCATATTTTCTGGGAATCGACGATTAATTGTGTCTGTGTGCTTCTTTCCCTCCTGAGAGTACCTCCTCCCCCTCTGAGTCTTGGGGCCCTCGGGTCGGGGTGGGATGGCCCGGCGGGCAGCTGCGAGCAGGGCTGGGCAAGCGCGCTCCACTACTCGCAAAGGAACTGCTCGCACATGGCCCGGATCCGCCGCGGGGGATGAACACGATCCTTCACATAGAGGAAGGCATGTTGTTCTTCGGACTTTCGCAGGTAGGCACTTTGCGAGCAGCGGAACGCGCTCGGTGAAGGGCAAGGGGCCGCCGCGGCTCCATGAGGGCCGGCGGGTGCACGGTTTCCCCGGGGCCGTAGGTGACCCGAGGAGGAGGGAGGAGGAGGAGGAGGAGGAGGAGGAGCAGGAGGAGGAAGGAGGAGGAGGAGGAGGGAGGAGGGAGGAGGGAGGAGGAGGAGGCAGAGGAGGGGAGGAGAGGAGGAGGGGAGGAGGAGGAGGAGGAGGAGGAGGAGGAGGAGGAGGAGGAGGAGGAGGAGGAGGAGGAGGAGGAGGGAGGAGGAGGAGGAGGAGGAGGAGGAGGAGGGAGGAGGAGGAGGAGGAGGAGGAGGAGGGAGGAGGGGTCGCCCAGGCCCGTCGGGGAAGCCCTCCACAGAGGAGGCGGCGGGGAGGCCTCGATGGCCTCGATGAGGGGCCGGCAGGCCTGCCGGTGGATGGCCTCGATCTCCTGGCGGCCGGGAGGCGGCGCCGAGGGGGGGGCGGCGCGGCGGGAGGCAGCCCGCCTCGAGAGCAGCCTGTAGGAAGGCACCCGTCGCCACGGCTGGACCCTCGTCGCCACGGCTGGATCCTCCTCAGCATTCTCGTCAAGATGCACCCAGGAGATGTCCAGGGACCAGCAGGATCCGTACCTGCTCGTCCCCGCAGTGAGATCGATGCCTCGGCGAGCGGGGGACGGGCAGAGCTGTGTCGTGATAACCTGGGCGTTGGTTTCTGCCACCACGTGGATCGTTCACTCTTGAACGATTGCCAGCTTTGGTAGGAAGGCACCAACTATACACCAACACCGATCCTGGCCCAGGGTCACCCTGGGCCCAGGATCGGTGTATACGCCCTCCTGCCCTGCGCAAGAAGGCGTATACACCGATCCTGGGCCCAGGGTGATCCTGGGCCAGGATCGGTGTTGGTGTATAGATGGTGCCCTCCGAGCCTGGCTGCCTGGCAGACGACAGTCATCGGCCCGACCTGAGGAACGATGAATAAGGAAGGAAGCCCCTCTTTTCCAAGGAATATATCATAACGCACCAGGAGCGAAATATAATATTTATGACGCAGAAGGAACGATACATAACGCATGCAAACCTACGGAACGACCGAGCCCCTTTTGAACAGCAAGTGTTCCTTGTTCAAGCCGCTCACTGAATCCCAACCGAATCCGAAGATACAAACTTCGGGTTTCGGGGGATACGTGTTCCACATCGTGCGGTTTCAGTGTTTCCCGACGCCCCCCCCCCACACACTTGGAATAGAGGGTAAATTGCCCCCCCCCCCACCCCCTCTGGGCATGGAGGACAAGTTGGGGCCTCCGGGTTGGGTTAGGGTGACTTGGTGGGTGGTGATACCCCCATCCCTAAGATTGACTAGCCAAAAGGCGCTGAAAAAACTTGCGCGTGCGCCCTCAGTGCCTCAGGAGACCCCTAACGTCGGCATCGAGATAAGGCGGTGCTTTCAGGCTGGTGAGAAGGAGAATGGTTTCTTAAATTGGCAGTTAGCAGCGATAGCAGTAGCTAGGCAGCAATGCATGGCGGGGGGAAGCATCAACGCAGCGCGCACCCGAACCGTGAGCGTTTGGGCCCGTGAGCCGCCTCGAGCGGCGTGCCTCGCAGCCACCGTACTTTCCTCCTTGACCCTGAGCAAAACAATTCGCCGGCCCAACGGGCCAGAGGCGTGCTAAGATCTCCGGTAACTGGTTAACACTATTTCGAGTTCGCGCGCGCGGGGCTGCCCCTGCGGTCCCCCGGCGAAAAGTATCCCGACCGCAGCCCGACCAGGTCTACTCAGAGATGGTTTTCCTCCTGGGTACGGCCTCTCAGGCTCCCCAAAGCGCGCCAAGAGGGCCCCAAGAGGCCCCCAAGACTGCCCACGAGGCCCCCGAGACGCCCAAAGGGCGCTCCAAGACGCAGATGATGACCCCAAGACGGCCCAAGAGGCCTCCAAGTGGCCCCCCAGAGGCCTCACAAGAGGGCCCCGAAAGGCCAAAATCATAAATTACCCCAGTGCGACCCTACCTAGAAGTTAGAGCCCCTAGGAAAGCAGCATTAGTTGCTATGTTATGCTATGCTATGCTATGCCATGTTATGCTGCGCTATGTTAGCTATGATATGCTATGCTATGCTATGCTATGCTATGCTGCGCTATGCTATGCTATGCTATGCCATGCTAAGCTGTGGTATGTCATGCTGCGCTGTGCTATGCTATGCTCTGCTCTGCTCTGCTATGCTATACTATGCTGCGCTGTGCTATGCTGTGCTGTGATGTGCTTCGCTATGCTATGCTATGATGTGCTGCGCTATGCTATGCTATGATATGCTGGGCTATGATATGATATGATGTGCTATACATGCTACGCTATGCTATGCTATGTTGTGCTCTGCTATGCTAAAGCTCAGCGAAGTTAAGGTGAAGGTAAGCTACGCTAAGATAAACATGAGCTAAGATAAAGCTAAGCTAAGCTAAGATGAAATAAGCTAAGCTATGATGAGATAAGCAACGCTAAGCTAAGGGGACTTAACTGGGGGAACCGCGGGGCGGATACTGGGGGAACCGCCCGGAGCGCTTTCCACTGCCCGGCCCCTTTGAGCCCAGAGAGTAAGAACCCTTCTAGGCAGAGCCTAGGTAGGGAATTTCACGATGGTTTTGGAAGGATGTTGGCCTTGTCGCCTTTTCGGCCATCCGATGCTCCAAGACGGGCCAAGAGGCCCCCAAGAACGCCCCAAGACGGGCCAAGAGGCTTACAAGAGGGCCCCAAGAGGGCCCAAGAGGGCCCCGAGACGGCCCAAGAGGCGCCCAAGACGGCCCAAGACGGCCCCAAGACGGCCCCAAGAGGGGCCCAAGAGGGGGACCACGAACCGAAAACTCTAGCCTTCCGCCCCAAGAGGGCCCCAGGAGGCCACGAGAGGCCCCCAAGAGGCCCCAAGATGCCGCCAAAAAGCCCCCAAGAGGCCCCCAGGAAGCTCAAAAGAGGCCCAAAGAGGCCCCAGAAGACTTCACAAATGCCTCCCAGGCGCCCCCGAGCGGCTTCTCAAAAGACCCCAAGAGGCCTCCCAAAGAAGCATCTTGACGACGACCCTGTTTGGCCCCAAGAGCAACACAAGATGCCAACGAGAGGCTTCCTACTCCGCCCCGTCCTCTTCCTCCTCCTCCTCATCCTACTTCTCTTCATCCTCCTCTCCTTCTCATCCTCTCCTCCTCCTCCCCTCCCCTTCCCCATCCTCATCTTCACCCTCCTCGGCGGCGCCACAGTGGCCCCGGGCCCACGGCGAAGCAGTAGCGATCATGCAACTTGGGCCGGCGGAATGAGCGGAGCGATTGAATACACTTGAGAGCCAGTCAGAAGGAAAAGATATCGATACCACTGCTCGTCTTGGAAAGCCCTCGTCGCCACGGCTGGATCCTCCTCAGCATTCTCGTCAAGATGCACCCAGGAGATGTCCAGGGAGCAGCAGGATCCGTACCTGCTCGTCCCCGCAGTGAGATCGATGCCTCGGCGAGCGGGGGACGGGCAGAGCTGTGTCGTGATAACCTGGGCGTTGGTTTCTGCCACCACGTGGATCGTTCACTCTTGAACGATTGCCGGCTTTGGTAGGAAGGCACCAACTATACACCAACACCGATCCTGGCCCAGGGTCACCCTGGGTCCAGGATCGGTGTATACGCCCTCCTGCCTTGCACAAGAAGGCATATACACCGATCCTGGGCCCAGGGTGATCCTGGGCCAGGATCGGTGTTGGTGTATAGTTGGTGCCCTCCGACTCTTGAACGATTGCCGGCTTTGGAACAGAAGAAAACGGCATAGACATAAATGTCTGGCGCTCCGCACGGACCTCTTGGAATCTGCGCTGGACCCCCCGTCCCGGGCGCGCGGAGCGCGCCAGCGGCGAAGCTGGAGGCGCCGCCGGGGGGCCCCCGGCGCGGATCCGGGAAACCCGCGCGGAGCGCCAAAAGTTTACGTTTGTGGCGCTTTCTCTTCTTCGAACCACGTGGATCGTTTCGGGGATCTTCTGACCCGGGTCAATCCAGACCCCGGTCAGCAAGAAACCAAAAACTGCAATGCAGGAGAAAAAAAAAACTGCAACGCAGGTCTTCGCAAACCCAGGTCAGCCAGTAGGCGCGGCCGCCTCGCGGCCACGAGCGGCTCGCTGACCCGGGTCAGCCAGGGGGGGTCTTCGCAGGATCCTGCAAGCTCCGGTGCCCTGGCTGACCCCCGTTTGCATTGACCCCCGTCTCGAGGCCGAGGATCGTTCAATGTTGAACGATTGCCGGCTTGTCGATCGCCAGATCGCTCTACACATTGGCCGAGCCCGGGACCACCGGCAGCGCTCGGCCCCGAGCGCCCGCAATCTCGCGCCGATCGCCGCGAGCGGCACCGCACGCGGCCTGCTGCCGTTCCCTTGGGCGAGCGCCCGGTCTGTTGCCCGGCCGCCTGGCTCGCCCCGGGCTGCATTAGGGGGCCACATGCGAACCCCACCCCTACCCCCCACAATTTCTGAGGGGTAGGGTGGGGTTCACTTCGCTCGGGAGCTTCCGAACGAAGTGAACCCCACCCTCCCCCTTAGAAGTCGTGGGGGCTAGGGGTAGGGTTCGCATGTGGCCCCCTATGCATGCATCATGGGACGCACAGGGACATACTGATACTGTGTGTCCTCGTTGGAGGCGCGCGACCGACCCGAACATATCGTACGCCCATCTTGCAGTACATCGTTTCCCGAGCGGTGTGGCCAGAAAGCGCCCGCCACGACGCATATACTATAAGAGTGCGCGCGTCGCCCCTGGGGGGGCGACGCACATATAATATAATCATGTTGGGGTGACGCCAGTAAAACAGCGTTTAGGTCCAGCCCTGTCCCGTAAGTTGTCGGTTGACCCAGGGGTGCGCCTTGGGTGGGTTGTCCCGTGGTTGTCCCGCGCTTGTCCATCGGCTGTCCCGCAGGCCGTTGCGCGGTCGGTCCCCTGGGACGAGCAGATCTTAATCCAGATCCAATTGCTATCGACACGAGCATCGAAATACAATGCACATCGAAAATGAAAATCCGAATCGGACTGAACATCAAACTTGAGATCGAACAGCAAGTCAAACTGCAACTTCACGCATACGCATCCAAGTGCGATCGGCATGCACATCGACATGCACAGGGAAATGTCAAACGGCATTCAAGTCAAACAAACACCTTGAACTGAACATCAAATTGCAATGGAATCGACAAGCGCACAGAAATGCACGTCGGAAAGCAATCACATGCAAATAGATATTTGCAAATCGAAAAGCTCAGCGTATGCAAATAGAAAGACACATACAAGTTCAATCGAAATGCAAAGTGTTACGCAAGTCCGTTGTGATGAGCATGTAAATCGAAATGAAAATCAAAATGCAAAAGCTCATCCAAAATGCAAGCTCCTCCCCCCTTTTCCCCAAAAGACAATATCACGCGAAGGATTATCAATAAGGTCAGGAAGTCTCCAGAGAGCGCCCAAATTTGAAAAGGGTCCGAGGTGACGAATGAGCGGGGCGTTACAGCGACAGTCTCATTCTCAAAAAAGGACCCGCCACAAGCGCTAGGTCGAGAGCCACAGCTTGAAAACAGCATGTGCTCCATCCGCGCCACTGCTGCAATCTCGAAGCTGAAAGCCGACCCATCACAAGGAGGCCCCAGGCGAAAACGCGCGGCCCGCCCTACCGGCTCACGTGGTGGTGCGACGAAACAGAATTATCTGTGTAAAGAGGGGGGGGCAAGGGAGGAGGAGGGGGGGAAGGAATGCCGAGTTTGTCGTGCACGTCTGGCCCTCACTCGCTCCTCCGAAGGCCTCAGGATGAGACGCTGGAGGCATCCGCTGCGGGCTTCCCTGCAATACCTCCGACTGCTCGACGAAGCGGCACCAGATCAGGGTGAGGGGGCCCGAACGGTCATGCGTCTTCCCCGCGCTCGCGCGGCTGGATGGAGGGCTCGGTCTCCGGAGGTGATACTGAGGGGCTACACATGGGGGCGAGGCTTGGGGGCAACACATTGGGGGCGAGACTTGGGGGCAACACGCGGGGGCGAGACTTGGGGGCAACGCACGGGGTCAGCACTCGGGGGCAATCTGTGGGCGCAGTTCTTCGGGGGGCAGCACATGGGGGCAGCACAGAGGGGCAGCACAGTGGGGTTATCCGCATGGACGGGGGACAGCCCATCTTGATAATTGGGGATCCCCTCCCCTCGATATCTCTCTCTCTCTCTCTCGCTCTCTATTGTCAAACTTAGTAAGTAGTATGGCGAGGAAACCATAATCGCGCAATAGTTGCCCGGATCACAGGAGGTACGTATAAAAAACGAGCCTGTTGCGGGACGACTCCTCGGAATCTCTGATACTACCATCTTGCTAGACGGATGACGGGCGGATCCTTCGGAAAACGGGCCTCTCGCCTGAATGACAGACCCATGGGTCGTTCGTTTTCAGGGGGGTGCTTCCCGCAGTGAAAAGGAATGCTTGTAGGGACTTCTGAGATGAGAGTTTGGGACGGTGTGTCGCAGAATTGTGGGTGCATCATAGGTTTACTCCCTCCCTCCATCCCCTCTCCATAATGAAAAGGAATGATTGTAGGGACCTCTGAGGTGGGAGCTCGGAAAGGCGTGTTGCAGCATCGTGGGTGAACTATTGGTTCACTCACTCCCTCATTTCCTCCCTCCCTCCCATACCCTCTCCCCCTCCAAATTGATAATCATCCTCCCCCCTCTAAATGGAAAATGCATGAAGAGAGAAGAGGGAGGGAGTAGACCTCCGACTCCCCCTCCTCCTCATCCTCCTCCTCATCCTCCTCATCCATCTCCTTCTCCTCGTCCACCTCCTCCTCCTCCTCGCTTCTCCTCCTCCCTCCTCCTTCTCCTCCTCCTCCTCCTCCTCCTCCTCCTCCTCCTCCTCCTCCTCCTCCTCCTCCTCCTTCTCCTCCTCCTCCTCCTCCTCCTCCTCATCCCTTGTCCTCCTCCTCGTCCTCCTCCTCCTCCCTTTTCCTCCTCCTCCCTCCTCCCTCCTCACCCCTCCTCGTAATTCTCGGGCCGGAGGTTCCACTGGTCCAAGGAAGCATTCGGAAGTTCCTCGAAACACCCGAGACCTCCTCATCCTCCGCATCCTCCTCCCCAAACCTCCGACGTTGTGATTTGGTCAGTACGCGGTCCCCTGAGCCCTGAGCCCTGAGCGGTACGTATCCACCGCCTGGGAATCGACGTATATCTATATCCACAGCGGGCGGTGGATGTGGTATACTTTGGCCCCTGGGGGCCCCAATATATCCGTATCCACCGCCCGCCGAGGTCCCCAAAATTGGATCCTCTGGGCGGTGCTCGTGTACAAACTCCCGTCTCGGAGGGTGTGCCGAAATGGGCGCGGCGCCGCCGTGCGGAGTGGCCCCCTGACGCCGCTGGCGGAGCTCCCCGATGAGGGCACGATCCGCGCGAGGGGCGTGCCGAAGTGGACGCGCGGGGAGCAGAGGCAGGGAGGAGGAGGAGGAGGAGGAGGAGGAGGAGGAGGAGGAGCAGGAGGAGGAGGCGGAGGAGGAGAATGAGGAGGCGGAGGAGGAGGAGGGGAAGGTAACAGTATACAGAAGGCACCGCGGTCCCGCGGCCCTGGAGGTTAGGGGTGAACCGAAAAATCCTGGGGTAGCAGCCCAAGAATTGCCGCCATGCTGTAATTGACTGTCTTTTCTATTGCCAGTCTTTTAGCGTATACTGATACCGGTATGGGGTGGAGGTCACATAGTAAGGAGGAGGAGGAGGAGAAGGAGGAGGAGACTCGGGACGCACACAGTTACATTTCAGGCCCCCCTATCATAGGGCGTGGCCCCACAGCATGGTTCGCTAGCCTCTGCGCCCATCTTCACCAGCTTGCTGTACTGTCCAAAGGGAGGGTCGATTGAGTTGGGTTTAGACAGGCTGGTAGGGGAGGTGGAGCTCCTCGATCATTCTGCACTCCTTGCCTAGCTTGTTGCCTCTTGCCAGCTCGAGGCTGGTCAACCTTTTCGCCAGCACCGTATTCATAGGCCAGCCTTTACACACTGCATCTTGACAAACAGGCCAGCCTGTTAAGTTCGCAACAGCCCTCAAAACAGCAATATCATTACAGGCCAGCCTTACTCAGCTAATCTTCTCTTTGCGCAGGCCAGCCTCTACAGTTTAACACAGCCCACTCAGCACGTCAAAATTACACACTTTGTTGGGGGGGGGGGCATCAACATGGGTTGTGGGGTGGGAGACGGGTCGCTGCGGAGAGGGAAGCGACAGGGCGCACCAGTGTGCAACGCCCGCTTCATCACCGCCAAGAAGGGGCACTCACTACCCCATAATTGCCGTCAGAATGTCTGTTCAGCCAGCCAACCTATACGTTGCATGGCGTAAGCCTCCCGTTCCCACTCTCTAGCGTCGCCGGTCGCTTTGTCACATGGCTAGACGCTAGACCTACAGCGTGGGTGCGGAGAGTCTGGAGCGGACTCGTGCCCCCAGGCCGACCTGACCTGCAGCGTCAGCCTGTGCAATCCGTGAGCTTGCGGGAGATGGCGGGGAGGGGCTCCACACATCGGCGGGGCGGGGCGCGGCACGTGCACGAGCTGGGCGCCAGACCACCTGCGGCAGTACCTCGCTCGGTGTCCTCTCCCTGCTCATGGTATTCAGTTCAGGCTCATGGTTCGGCCCTTTAGGGGATGGACAGACCTCCCTTTAGCAAAACGCGGCTTAGTGAAAACGACCCGAGGCCCAAACCTGGCGGGCGCAAGCCTGGAAAACAACGGCCGCAGCGCCCTCTCGAGAGCCGAAAACGGACAATTCACTAGTCGACGTGTCACAGTTGTGGGTTCTGTCCGCCCCCGAACCTTCTCCTCTCCACGATGCGGGCGGCCTGGCGGGCGCATGCCCTCTGGCCTGAGGGCCCTGTGCTCTCTTCGCGTCTCGCGGCCTCGCCCTTTTTGTTCAGCTGCGCCCGCCGGGCTCCATTGGCTTGCTCCTCGCCCAAGACGGCACAAGCTGCACTTGTTCGCCCCCGCTCACCGACGCCAGAAGCCTGCTCCTCGGGTCCGCCCAGCGCCGACAAAAAGGGAGGGGTGGGTGGGCAGGAGGAGGCAGGAGGCGGGGGGGAGGCGCGGCGGAGAGAGAAAACGAGGGCCCGGGAGGAGGAGGGGAGGGGAAGGAGGGGGGGGGGGGGGGGGGGAACGGGCGGGAGGGGAGGGCGGCGCGCAGGAGGGCCCAGGAGGAGGAGGGGAGGGGAGGGGAGGGGAGGCGGAGAGAGAAAACGAGGGCCCAGGAGCAGGAGGGGGGGGGGAAGGAGGGGGGGGGGGGGAACGGGCGGGAGGGGAGGCGGCGCGCGGTGCTGCGGCTTCCGAGCGAGGGCCCCGCTGGGGCGGGAGCGCTGGGGGGGGAAAAAAAAGTAGTCTGGCCTCCCCGCCCTCTAACCCCCCCCCCCTCCCCCGCCTCCCCGCAAAAAAGCTGAAAAAACAGCGACACTGTGTCCGAGTGGTTAAGGAGGTGGGCTAGAAATCCACTGGGCTCTGCCCGCGCGAGTTCGAATCTCGTCGGTGTCGATGTTCATCCGGCCGCGTGGCCTAATGGATAAGGCGTCGGCCTTCACTTCGGAACCGAAGATTGTAGGTTCGAGTCCTACCGTGGTCAGTATTGGTTTTTCTATCTAGCAACTCTAACCCCCCCCCGCCTCCCTGGCCCGGGCGGCGGCCGTCCTCGAGGGCGGGCATCTCGAACCGGACCCAGCTTCGGTCTCGCCCCCGCCAGAGGGTCGCCGTCGGCGGCGGCAAAAGACGACGTCGGCGACGACGGCGGCAGAAACTGGAGGAGGACGGGGAACGTGACGACGACGACGACGACGACGACGACGACGACGACGACGACGACGACGGGATTTGCGGGAAGTGTGCGCGGAGTGGGAGACGACGAAGGCTGTCGACGAAAACAACCACGGCAGGCCTCGCCAGAAATGTGGCCGAACCGCTCGTTCGACGGAGACACTTCCCGACTTCCCCACACCCTGGCTCCCACCCGACTGCCCCTTCGCGCCTCCCTTTCTGCAGCATCATCCCACGCACTTGCTCCTCCGCTGTGGGGCTCCAGCGACATGGAGGAGCGCAAAAGCAACCCCGGAGCCCGCCCCGCCGAAATACGCCAGGGAGCGCCGCACGTCGTTGCCTTGGTGGCGCCGCCACGTGCTCTGTGCGGCTGGCGTTGGACAGATGTCCGAGGCCGATGTGGCACCACAGCAGCAATTCGGCCCCTGACTTTCGTCCTGGGTTCGGTTTAGTGAAGTGATGAATTTCGGGGTCCTTACGTGGGAAAAAACATGACTTCACTAATCTGGGGCCCCTGGGGCCTCAGTGGGCCCTGGGGCCCAAAATTAGTGAAGTGATGGTTTTCGGGCCTCGGATTCCGACAACCACCTCCCGCTCTCGCGCGTGCCGCACCGCCCTCGGGGCGGCAGTCGTGAGCGAGGCGTGCGTGCGAGCCGGCAACTTCCTGGGTGAGGGGGGGGGTAGCGTACAGCAAGCGGGCCGGCGGCGCCGCATCGCATGCCATCTTTCCAGACTTCTCCCTCGTCCCCCTGGGCTGGCCCTCCCGTCCCCGCCACCCTCTCCCTCTCTCTCGCTCGTTCTCGCTCTCGAACTCTCCAGGCGTTCTCTGGGGAGGCGGGGACTTATCCATATCCACCGCCTGGGAACCGGCGTCCTGGTGCCCCAGCGGGCGGTGGATATGGATATATATATATATATATATGTATAGTTCGGCCCCCGGGGGCCCGAATTGTCTAGATCCATCGCCTGCCAAGACTCCGAAAACGGACCCTCCAGGCGGTGGTCGTGTACGAACCCCCGCCTCGGATCTCTGACCTTTTCGGTGAGCGTGCTCACGCCCCGACCCTCACGAGGGGCCAGAGCGGGGATCTGGACAAATTGCTGACCTCCGAGGCCACGTGCTCTCATGGGGCGCACAGAGACATACTACTGCTAATATGTCCTCCTTGGAGGCGCGCGCCCGACCCCAACATACAGTACACTCATGTTGTAGTACATCGTTTCCCGAGCGGTGTGGCCAGAAAGCGCCCGCCGCGACGCATATACTGTAGGATTTCTCGGTGCGCGCGTCGCCCCAGAGGGGGCGACGAACACATAGCATAAGCATGCTGGGGTGACGCCGATCTCATGCATACCCTGCTGCGCCTGGCGCCCCGAGTGAAGGGTAGCAGCAAGGGAGTGGGTCGAGCGCCGCTCCGCGACTCCCTCTCCCAGGCAGCAGGACTGGCATTCTGCCGGAGCGCAATCCCGATCTCTGACTCGCTCCCTCGCTCTGCATCCGCCACGGTGTCCCCTGGCTCGGGAGCGGCCAAGAGGGGGGTGTCCAAGAGGGGGGGGTGCAAATCATGACCGGCGGCATGTGCGCGGCCCAGCGGGGGGGCCTGGGACGTAATGAAATAAGAAGAGGCGCCCTGAAATCTGGAGAAATATCATGGCCCCCGCCATGATATCCACCCCCCCCTAGTCATCACCCCCCTCTTTTCTGCCCCCGACTGGCACGTCGAGGCGTGGCAGGATGCCCGGGGCTGTCTGGTAGGGATTCCGTATCCTTCAAGAGGGACCGCCCTCCTCTCGCCAAAGCTGCTGCTGCACTGCAGGTGTTTGAAAGGCTCTCGCGCATTGTCGCCTCGTCGGGCGTCGCTCAGCTCAAAACGGTCCAAGACGTCTCCGAGATATTCCCTAGAGGTCCCAGGAGGCCCCCCAGAGGGTCTCAAGACGGCCGCAGCGGACCCCAACATGTCCCCAGCGGCATCCAAGACGGCCCAACAGCGGCCCAAAAGGGCCTCGGGAGAATCCGCTGGCCCCTTGCGGGGCAATCCGGCTGCGAGGATCAGGTTTGCTGCTCCCTGCAGCAGTTGAAGGGGAACTGGGACACACAAATAAATACACACAAATAAAAATATCCCCCATATTTTCCCATATTTTCTGGGTTTTTGTTTTCCCCCCCACTTCCCATATTTTCCCATATTTTCTGGGAATCGCCGATTAATTGTGTCTGTGTGTTTTTTCCCCTCCTGACCAGTTGCAGTTTCCAGTCTCCAATGTTACAGTCCTGCTCTCTGCTTCCTACTGTAAACTGTGGAAGCCCGCGCGAAACGCGTCCGGCTACCGCCCCGAATCGGGTGCTCTGACTTCCTGTGGGGCCGTGGGACACGTAAGAACACGTAAGATTCGCGCTCCCGACACAGTTGAAGGGGCCCCAGGACACACAAATGAATACACACAAATAAAACGATTCCCCATATTTTCCTATATTTTCTGGGTTTCTGTCTTCCCCCCCACTTCCCATATTTTCCCATATTTTCTAGGGAATCGACGATTAATTGTGTCTGTGTGTTTTTTTCTCTCCTGAACAGTAATCCTCGGCAGATTCCGCTGCATCCGCATCCCCGAGGCCGCGATCCCTCGCAAGTTGCCTCGCATTCGCGTCCGCGAAGCCACGATCCCGCGTAAGCGCCCCCGAGGCCACGATCTCCCGCAAATTACACTACGTTCGCGCCTCTGGGGCCACGATCCCATGTAAATTACACCACAGCTGCTTCCCCGATGCCACGATCCTTCAGAAAGTATACAATATTCGCGTCCCCGAGCCCAGCGACCCTTGTAAATTACTCATGTTCCCCCTCCCCGAGGCAACAAACCTTTTCAAATTACACACGATTCGCGTCCCCGAGGCCACTAACTATTGCAAATGACTAAATGCTTTCCCACCAGAAGCAACAAGCCCTTGCAAATTATTCATGTGTTGCGTTCCCGCGGCAACAAGCCCTCGAACATTACAAAAGATTCGCGTCCCCGAAACTAGAATTCGCTTGAAATTGAACAATATCCGCGTCCCCGAGGCCACAAACCCTCGCAAATTGCTCAATAGTCGCGTCCCCGAAGCCAGAATCTTTGCATCTTACGTAATATTCGCGTCCCCGATGCCACAAACCCTCTCAATTTTTTAAAATTCTGGCGTCCCCGAGGCAACACACCCTCGTAAATTATTCAATATTCGCGTCCGCGTGGCCATAAACCCTTGCAGAGTACACCAGATTCCTATTGCCGAGGCCAAGAGTGCTCCAAGGCGCCCGAAGATTGTTCCAAGACGGCTCAAGAGGGCTCCAAAAGGCCCAAGTGCGCTCCAAGAGGCCTCCCGAGAGAGCCCCAAGAGGCCAACATCATAGATTTAAGGAATTTGGGGCTCTCGCATTTTCGGCTTTCCGACGCTCCAAGATGGCGCTCCCAAGACCGCCCCAAGACAGCCCAAGACGCCTCCAAGAGGGCCCCAAGACGGCCCGAGAGGGCTCCAAGATGGCCCAACAAGCGTTCCGAGAAACCCCGAGAAGCCCCCAGGAGGCCCCAAGAGGCCCCAAGAGGCGCCCAAGACGCGCCAAAGAGGCCTCCAAGAGGCCAAAAAGATACCCCACAAGGCCCTGAGAGGCCCCCAAGAGGCGCCGAAACCGACTCCAAGAGGCCCCCGAGAGGCTCCCCACGACGCCCCAACACATACAAGAGGCCTCAGACCCACGAACCAGACGCGGTGGCGGGATGGGCCGAAGGCCACTAGGATCCGCCGCCCCCTGTGGTCTTGCCACAGGGGTGCACGGCGTGCTGGATGTTTCAGGTTTTGGTTTTGGTTCTTTTTCTAAAAGAACTCCCCAGTGGGCTTCGGCCCGTCCCGCCGGCCACCCGCAAGTTTCCGAAAATCCATCTGTCAATGCCTTTGTTGCCCCAACTTGGCCCAAGATGGCCTCCAAGACGGCCAAGATGGCCCAAGATGGCCTCCAAGATGCTTCCAAGACGGCCAAGATGGCCTCCAAGACGGGTAAGATGGCTCCAAGATGCACCCAAGACGGCCCAAGATGGCCTCAAGATGGTCTAAGACGGCCCAAAAGGCCCGCAAAAGGCCTCCAAGACGGCCCAAGAGCCCTCCAAGACGCCCTCCAGGAAGGCCCGAATAGGTTAAAATCATTGATTTTCCTTAGGTTTTTCAAGGATTTTGGCATGTTCTTCTTTTCAGCTCTCCGACGGCCCAAGACGGCCCAAGAGGTCCCCAACATCGCCCCAACAGCACCCAAGAGGCCTCCAAGATGGCCCCATGACGGCCCAAGAGGCCCCCAAGAAGGCCCCAAGAGGGCCTCAAGACGGCCCAAGAGGCCTCCAAGACGCCCAAGATGGCCTCCAAGACGGCCAAGATGGCCCAAGATGGCCTCCAAGATGCCTCCAAGACGGCCAAGATGGCCTCCAAGACGGGTAAGATGGCTCCAAGATGCACCCAAGACGGTCCAAGATGGCCTCAAGATGGTCTAAGACGGCCCAAAAGGCCGGCAAAAGGCCTCCAAGACGGCCCAAGAGCCCTCCAAGACGCCCTCCAGGAAGGCCCGAATAGGTTAAAATCATTGATTTTCCTAAGGTTTTTGAAGGATTTTGGCATGTTCTTCTTTTCAGCTCTCCGACGGCCCCAGACGGCCCATGAGGTCCCCAACATCGCCCCAACAGCACCCAAGAGGCCTCCAAGATGGCCCCATGACGGCCCAAGAGGCCCCCAAGAAGGCCCCAAGAGGGCCTCAAGACGGCCCAAGAGGCCTCCAAGACGCCCAAGATGGCCTCCAAGACGGCCAAGATGGCCCAAGATGGCCTCCAAGATGCCTCCAAGACGGCCAAAATGGCCTCCAAGACGGGTAAGATGGCTCCAAGATGCACCCAAGAGGCCTCCAAGATGGCCCCATGACGGCCCAATAGGCCCCCAAGATGGCCTCCAAGACGGCCCAAGAGAGTCGAAGATGGCCCACGACGGCCCAAGAGGCCCCCCAGAGGCCTCCCAGACGGCCCAAGAGGCCTCCAAGAGGTTCTCCAGGAGGGCCCGAAGAGGCCAAAATCATTGATTTTCCTGTGGTTTTTGAAGCATTTTGGAAATTTGCGTCTTCTCGACATTCCGACGGCTCAAGACGGCCCAAGAGGCCCCCAAGATCGCCCAAGAGGCCCCCAAGAGGGCCCCATGACGGCCCAAATGGCCTCCAAGTTGGCCCCCAAAGGGCCCCAAGACGGCCCAACAGGCCTCCAACACGCCCAAGATGGCCTCCAAGACGCCCAAGATGACCTCCAAGACGGCCCCGAAGCGCCCCGAGAGGGTCC